CATTATTAACTTCGTAGGGAGGGGGAATAGTATTAAACGGCACGCTCAAATTTACACTAACACGAAATTAGTCTGTAGGGAGATGTTCTGGTGTGAGCAATAAAGTTTTCTTATGAAAGAGTAAATTTATAAATTCCAAGTGCTGTGTGAAGAATAATGTCCAAGTGATGTTCTAGCAAGAAGAGTAAGATTACATTATCAATAACTAAATTTGGTTTTGATATACGAATAACGAACTGTGACATGTTTTCTATTATTTCGTTGTTGGTGGTGAGTAAAGGACTATACGTCAAAACCAAACAAACTGCTTACATTCTACCACTTCATGAAGCCTTTATTTATTTGCTTCGCTCTTTCAAGCAGTACCGATGAGCTGCTGTGATGGGAGTAGTGAATCAAAGAATAGATTAGGCCTGTATGTCATCTTTTATTCATTGAAATTCACGTTTCGGTGAGGGGAAAGAAAGTCATAAACAAATAATGACCAAATTTGTTAGGTTCGAATGGCTTAAGTATAAGATTACCTTATGAATGGCTAAACATATTAGGTTCAAGTGATATTCTGGTATGAAGAGTTAAGGTTACCTCATAAATGACTATATATTTGTTATGCCTGCGATATAATTAAACTTACAATAAATAATTCTGCAACAGATGTCAAGTCAGTTAAGATAATATTTAAAAACCATTTCTTTGTATTACAACACTTTCAACCCTTAAGTCATCCATTAATACTTTACGTCTATCTTCTATCCAAGTTATTGTTTATCGGCCGTGTGACCTGGAATGGCCTGGTGGTTAGGACTCTCGACTCATAATATGTGGGTTCAAATCTCCGTTATCGAACATGCTTGCCCTTTCAGCATTGGGAACGTTATAATGTGACGGTCAATCCCACTATTTGTTAGTATTAGAGTAGCCCAAGAGTTAGCGGTTGGTATTGTTGAGTAGCTGTCTTCCCTCTACGCTAGCTCTAGTCTATCACTGCTAAATTAGGGACGGCTCGCACAGATAGCCCCAGTGTAGCTTTGCGCGAAGTTCAAAACCAATCACCTACTGTATATTTTTTGATATATGTTATATCTTTATTTTAGTATCTAAATGCTTTCCATTTAATTTTGACGCTCCTTTTCGCGCTAAAAGCCGGGTTTCGATACCCGTGGTGGGTACAGTATAGATAACCCATTGTGTAGGTTTACGCTCAACAACAACACGCACACTTCAGACCCAAGTTTATATTACTGTTGAAATTTAATTCCAATACGAGTTTCATTATGATACAAAGATATAAAACTATGAGAACATCCTTGAAAAAGTGTCTCTAACGAACCTATCTTTCAACTCTATCTTATTTATTTTCCAGAAAAGGCTAATTCAGGTTGTAATTAAGCAGTAAGTTTGATATTTGGATGTTTGTTTTTTAAATAATCCACAAACTGTTTTACATATTCAAATTTCTTAAATATTATGAATGGATCGCCAACATATCTATTATACAACAGTTACTTAAAGTTTCACAAACAATCTTTTTAACCATTTTTTTTTCATGATAACACATCAAAATAGGGTTTTAATAATAGACATCTATTTTCTTTTAATCAGAATTTTAATTTTGATAGTTCTATTATCTTTGCATTATAAAGAAAATCTTATAAGAATTTCCATTTATGTTCAAATACTAACAAATTCATCATATATTTTTTTTTCCATTCATTAACATTCTGGAATATAAAGCAATTGCATTTTCCATATTTTAAATATACTTATCAATTAGCATTTCCGTTGTAAGGCTGCTTGATATTACATTAACACAAAGAAGGAGAATTGTTTTAACGAAACTTTTAACAATGTAACTCTACGCATTTCTGTCTTTGCATCGTCTAAAGACAAGTTATTCCTACGACCGCAGGAAATTTATTTATTTTCATAGTCTGAATAAAAATTCCAACAGAATGTTAAAAATTGACAATTTGAGGTAAAATTTGGATTTTTTTAAATTACTTCAAAGAAAAAAAAAACGCTAATGATGTCACACATATTTTGTGACTCAAATAATGTACAACCATATGATGGACATCTGAGAATTAGTTGAAATGTTTACAGAGGTTACAGTTATCGTATTTGACTCGCTCAGAAATTTTTCATAATATTTCCTTTGGCTGCCCCAATCTCCCCCCAACCACCATCATAATCAATTTTGCAGTTTTGCCGGTGCTGCTGCTTTTCCTAGATGGGCCCCCCAATGGCACAGCGATATGTCTGCGGACTTACAACGCTAGAAACCGGGTTTCGATACTCGTGGTGGGCAGAGCACAGATAGCCCATTGTGTAGCTTTGTACATAAATTCAAACAAACAAAACAATTTTCTAGATGGCTTCCATGAGGAGTATATGTTTAAATAGCACACTAGGATCTTCAACACAAACTTTTATTTCGATACACACTTAATTTCAAATATTTAAGTTTAAAACTGTATTTCTGGTATGATATCCATAATAGCTTCTTACATTAAATGCGAAACATATTGCATGCCGTTAAAGTTCTCAAAGTATAAAAATCTTGCAAAAAAACAAAGAATAAAACTAAATAATTTTATTTAATGGTCAGTTGTATAGAATTTTTTTAAAACATGAACACTAAAATACTTTAACTGGAGGAAAATAACCTTCAACATGTTTCCTTTATTGTTATGTACATGAGTGCATGTTTACGTTACGAATTTTCTGATAAATATGTTTATATACATCATTCACAGGAGAAAAACTTAACTCGCACTCTTTCACTATTCTAACCAGTTAAGGCTTAAAAGGATTATACTTGAAAAATAAAAAAGTAACCAATTTTACATGTTCGCCAGGAACTTACCGAGAAGAAAAACAAACAAACTTGTACGTCTAAACTAATTATTCACCGTGCACTATGATTTTAGGGCAATATGTCTCTGGGAACCAGATTAAGGAGATTGTGAAAAGATCTTAGCTGGAGAATAATATTATGGTAGAGGTTGAAGACCATCACGAGATGTGACGCTGCTCTGCCCAAACAACCGCAAAACCCTATCCTGATTATACTTTCAGTTTTGACTGTCAGATGTATCTAAATGTACCAATAACTACAAACAATTTTTCACGTGTGCTGTTACGCGAAAAACGAAGTTAATGAGAACGTTGCAGATAAGATGAAAGTCCGACATTATCAATTATGTATTATAACATGACAAAGAGATAAAACACAATAGGGCGATAGTTCTAGAGAACCATTATTGTGGAAAGCTTGTTGTAGGAGCACATCAAAGGCTCCATTGTGTCATTGGATGATTAGAAGCGAATTTGGAGGACATCTTTCCGTTGGTTTTTGGCTTTATAATTTATTTATTCTTTTGTTTGGCACTTAGAAGTCACAACTAGAATTAAGTTAATATGAAGGACAAACATCCTTCTGTAAATTCCTCCTTGTGTAATACCTCAGTTGAATCCATTCAATTTGTTCAATGCAATGAGGTTTAAAGAAATATGGGATTTTTTCAACTAATTTCCAATATGCTTGGTCTAAAGAGGATGTTAATTTAACATAGATATATGTATAATAATTATTGTCATTATTATCATAACTTTTAAATTTTATTTCAGTTTTTAACCTTTGATTTTGTAATCGTTTTATTGTTTGGAGTTAAGCAAGAAGCTATACAATAGGCTCTCTGTGCTCTGCCCACCACTGGTATCGAAACCCCGGATTCTAGCGTTGTAAGTCTGCAGACATACCGCTGTGCCACTGGAGTTCTATTATCTTTTATATTCTGTCTTTCATAGTTACATCCTAAAACAAGCAAAACTATCATATCAAATAACGTGGTTGTTGAAGATATATATATTTAGTGAAAGCCAGGTTTCAGATTTCAATAAATTCACACCAGCTGAGTGATATTTATTTCTTCGTTAAAGCATCTGACAACGTCACGTGCATTAGCAGGTGTAAAGGTTTCACGTTTCTTAAAGAAACACGCGATCTGACACTGATGCCATTTAGCAAATCAAAAGGAAAAGAATGTTTAATTTGAACTTAATGATCTTCCATTCTAATTTAGGCAAAAGAACAAATATTTTATTTTTTTGCTGAGGTTGATCAAAACATTGAACCAAATAATTGACGCTTTCACTTAAAATAAGTTATTTAATATGAATAAAACTGACAGAATTCAAATAACATTTGAAATTTCTCCAACTTTATTTAATGTTACAGCATGTAAATTTACTTATTTTAGTGTAACTGAGGAAAACGCGAATGCTTAGAAGAAATTTGATAAAGAAATCAAATACTTAAAACGAAATGTTGGTCATATTACAAATATCATATATGCACTGTGAGAGCATTTCTTACCATAGAAAAATAATGGTTTTCTGCCGTTTATTACGAAACATGTTGAAGTTTATTCAGAAGATTAAAATAATTTGAAACACGATACAAGACGATAGTCGTCATAATTCAGAGGGTTTCCAATTTCCTATTTATAGTGCTGAATGGATTTTATTTAAACAATATAAAATTCCTGTTGTTGAAACATACTACCTGATACTATCTTTCCTGTAGTGTTTTTTTTAAGCTTGTGATGAAACCTTTAGTATTTTGGCTGTAACGAACAATTCTAAAACCTTTTATTAAAAATCAAACTGAATCACAAAATGCTATTTTTAGAGATAGTCTGCTGTTAAATGTAAACGTTGTGCTTTATCAGTCTAAAATAGTCAACGTTTATTTCTTAAATATATTTTCTTGAGACATGATGAATAATTCTACCTTAATATTAAAACATTATGCAAACAAAGACCTTAATTAAACTTCATTTTCCTATTTTATTTCACTGTTTGTTAATCAATGTACCCATTCCTAGCATTTTGAATGTAAGAGAAGTCGGTCGATATTCGCGGTAACTCTTAGATGAAACAACGTGCTTGTTGACGTCTGATAAGGACATGAATTTTGTTATTTTCAATTTAGGAGCGTCTCTTATTGTCTGTTCTCCCGAGACACGTTGCCATGGAGATGAAGTCTGATATCGCCAAGAAACCTCAAGATACGATGTTTCACAAAATCTACATTCAAAGACACGAGAATGTCAGGTAAAAATAAAAAGTTTCTAATACTTTAAAGAAGTTGTCAGATTGTAACAAGCCGCATATAACACTAGAAAGAGGCTTGAAAACTGCTATTGCTTACTATATTTCTGTTGATTAAGATGGTTTCGTTAACTCGACTGTTACAATATGGCAAGCAAGAGAAACTAAAAAAAATATCCCTTGAATTTATTACGAAAAGTAATATTAAGTAGAGCATAGATAGATAGATAGACTGATTGATTAATAATAAGAGTTTATATTAACATGAGCCATGTACAACGGTTTATTTTCTCGCTTCTAGTATTTTATTCGCAGACATTTGTGGATTTACCCTGCTAGCATCACAGTGCACTGCCGAGGAAGTGGTGAAGATTCTGAATGAATTGTTTGCCAGATTCGACAAGCTCGCAGCTGAAAATCACTGTTTACGAATTAAGATCTTAGGCGATTGTTATTACTGTGTTAGTGGATTACCAGAGCCTCGGCCTGACCATGCCCATTGTTGTGTAGAAATGGGGCTGGACATGATTGATGCAATAGCGTGAGTTGACTTATATCTAAATCCATAGATAAGTTTCGAGTTCATTCAATCTCTTTTTTTTTTTCCTTTCATTAGCCAAATATTTTATCAACTTTATGCCATCATTGTGTTTTACAGGAGCCTTTTGTGTAGAAAAGTATGGAGTTCATAATTTTAAGACATCTGAAATCTATCTTGTAAAAATTAAAACACTTTTTTGTTAAGATGATAACAGCGGAGGGAGAATAAGGTAAATCAAGGAATGATGTATTTATATACATAATTTAGTTTTCGGAATATCATATCTCCATGTAAGCACTGCTTATTGTTTTTTTAAGTAATTACACGGCACACTCCTCAGAGCTCATTTTGAGATGATCAGTTTAATTGTAATTTAGTTTCCGTATTAAAGATTGAGAAATAATTTACAGGAAGAAAACATGATGTGAACAACATCCTTAGAGTTTACCAACATCACCACTGGAGTTTATAACTTTTCGAGCTTGTGGTGTTTTCGATTTATAGAAAATATAATTCATAAAATTTAGAATATCACTGTAATTTGTTATAAGTTATCCAATATAAACAGATTTTGTAAGCACTAAGAGTTTCATTTATAGGGCTGCACTTATAATGTAATGCTATAAATGAAAGTGTGGGCCGTTCCATTCCACTCTTTTGAGCCGTAGCATTCAAACGTTTCGTCAAACGCATAGGTACTCGTGCTACATGTGGCATTAAACGTCAATTTCATTTCGTGCCGATTTCACGTGTTTTGCTTACCAACGCTCTTGCTCAGTTTAGCTCTGATTTGGGACATTAATGTAGCAAAATGAAACTCAAACCTTTCATCCGATTGCTTATCTATATAAAATCGATATTTTGGTAGTTCATTTGCGTTCCTTTACTAAATTTAATTGAAATTAGTTTAACCCGTTCCTCTCAACAACGTGTGACACCAGACAGACAAACGGACGACTCTGCTTTATGTATAGGGAGATTATTCGACGGTGGTGTAACTGCCTCAGAAGAGTCGTATCTCTTGTTATTTTGTGTTTAGTTATATATATTTTACCTTTTTCCACTGCCACCATATTTCTTTCTTTATCAAATTTAACATTATCCAAAACTTATAAAACTGGAAGGTATGTCGCACACATTGCCCATTTACAATATTCCCACGTGTTTACTACATTACTGAAAAATGTAAGTATTGCGTTTCGCTTTATACCCTGAAAGGTATGCAGCTCAGAAAATGAAATGAAGTTTTTGTTCTGCATTTTTATCATGCGAGAGGAGTAAATGCGTTGATATCAGATTATTCAGCCTCAGAAAGCTTTCAGTAGCGAAGAGCTAATGGTCCTTGGCCTTTTGCTCACCTTCCGAAATTCCTATGTACATACATGTACATGCCAAAGCCTGATAACTCGCTAACAATACAAGTATATTTTATGAAACTGTAAACGTCGATGTTTTATTAGGTTGTACTGCATACATGACAATTCTAAATTGAACTGATGAAATTTATTGATCTATAAATTCGGATACTTCTGCGTTCAACAGCATACATTTAATCCCAGCTTCTTGGTGGCTCAGCGTTAAGCCTGTGGAATTATAACACTAAATTCAGGGCTCTATCCTTGCAGTGGGCACAGCGCAGATAGCTAAATCTGTAGGTTGCGCTTAAACAATCAGAGGTAAGTCCCAAGGCCAAAGGTTATAAAACATGGCAAAAAGCTATGCGAATAGAATAATAATAATAAAAAGGATGGGTGACATCAGTCACTTTAAGTTTGTTTGTATCGAAACCCGGTTTCTAGCGTTGTAAGTCCGCAGACATACCGCTGTGCCACTGGGGGGCCAGTCTCTTTAAAGAAACTACAGTATGGAAACAAATTGATTAGAATGTACTATAAAAAAATGTATCAACTGGAACGTTTAAACAATAACACGGCAAAAAACTTCTCTAGGACAGTATAAATCTAATTTGGCTTCAAATCAGTGAGAGCTAAAAACAGATGTATATGAATTGTATACGTGAAGGAGTTACATGTAACATCAAGTAACAACCATCATCCTCAGACACACAATATTTTTATCCATTTTTTAAACTTCTAAGTTTTTAGAATGAGACCAACAATAGTGACCATCCCGTGATGGCAGGTTAGTACTAGATCGATGGTCATCCCGTGATGGCAGGTCAGTACTAGATCGATTAGATTAAGAGTTATCAGTGAATAACAGTTAACCAAATCTCCAAAATGACTTACAGTTATGTAGTGCTAATTTACTTCATCCTAAGCATAAAGTAAAACATTCTCCTTACAGTTTCTACTTACATTCGTAATTATGGCTACTTTTTGGTATTTTCATCCTGGACAGTACTTTATGTGCACATGAGTTAAGTGACTTGGTCAGAGATCCCTGTGCTTCACGCATAACCGTCACTAATTATGAACTACTGACCAGAGAGAGAAAGAAGGCACCTAGTTAGAAGTAACTGCCATCTCAAGGGCCTTGTCCGGTTTGAATGGAATAACACGATTAACTGTCACTCTTATAACGCGCGCACAGCTGAAAGCACCGAACGTAGGAAACGCCATCTCGACATGAACCTTGGACCTTAACAATAACGCGAACTGTGTACATTATAATTTTATCTGTATAAGACATTACTGTATTTTATTAAGGTGTTACATGACAACAATGCACAAGATTATGTGTAATAACACAGGTAAAAAACACTGCTTTAATGAAATTATAAAACACCCTTGACTGCCTACTTGTTGTATACTTATTCTATGTGAGAAATAATATAGTTATAAATATGCCTGATGACATTATGCTGTGACTAGTATTTGTTTCACTATATCTTACTATACTGTAATTTTACGGTCGATATTAAATAGTATCACTGTGAATTACAGTGCAATCTGTACGTTTATGGCGTCATTTCTATGACGTTACTGCTTTGAAATCACATTAAATGTTAACAGGCTTATAGCATTAGTCTAAAAGCTATTGTGGAGTAAGTCACTTTACATAAAATATTGCAAATCCATCCAGAAATTTCTACTTGAATCCAAACTGGCATCTATGTTATGAAATTAGTATATACATTCGTCTTTAAATATCACCTAACATGAGCTATTCTAGCGCCATTTTAGAATACCTAATTATTTTCAACTTTGCATTAGGCATCCTGAAGTCAATTCCAGGAATCTTTACTCAGTATGTTTCAGGAGGAAGCAGCTGCAGAATAATTAATTACCAATAAGGATAGCTTCACGTCAGAGTATTTTTATACTTTTGTATTTATGTAAAACTACTAAAGCTACCTGATGTCGTCCCTAACCAGAGGGAAGGCAGCCAATCAGCAACACCATACCACCTACCATACATGCTAAGGGATTAACTGTCACTCTACTAACGCTGTATTTGTTTCTTCAAGCTCATTAAATTAATATTTTCATCACCAGAGGGTTCGCCTTGATCGAGGAAAGTCATCTAACTAGTAGGAAAATTCCCCTGAAAATCCAGTATCCTCTATTAATTCATGTTGTGTGTTTGAGAATTTATTTGTCCACGAACTCTTCCCACAGTTTTGGAGCTAGCAGGGCTAAACTTGGTTAGCGGACTCTGGATTTCTCGGAGAGTGTTCTTATCTATATGGCGTACTAAGGGAATACCTAGGGAAACTAAAACGTTATCGGAAGATCACCCAGGCATGATGTGGATCTAGTGATAGGTTTTTAAGGTCGATGAACCTGAATACGGCATTCGCTTTTGTGTTCCTGCCCCCCAAACAGGATTCTGAGTTTGTCATGTTTGAAACTGTGTTCATACCCCCCCCCCCGCTCACAAGCTAGCAGAACCAAACGTGGCAGACCTGCTCTGGGGTAAGGGTGTCATAAAGAAGTTTGTTTTCCAGTACGGACCCCCCCCCTTAAGGCAGCTATAGAAGAAATTGGAGATAATGGTAAATTGGGGTATCTATTAAATTATGAGGGGGCCTTTGAACCCCGCAAGGGAGCGTCGGTAATTCATGCTAGAGTATACTAAGAAAAATTGAAAATTATTGTTATAAGATCTATATTGATTGATTCGATCGCCCGTGATTAGTTGGGCTTCTTTCGCTTTGCCCGTTTATTAAAAAAAAAACTCATGTTTAGCTTTTTTTCACGTTACATTAATATAAATTTTAACACTACTTATACGATGAAAGCATACATTCCGATTTACAGTGAGTCCTAAAAATATAAGAACAGAAATACTCAGCTATCTATAACAGTTAATAGCAGATAAATATGGCAGACAGGAGAAAATATATCGTATAATGGAGAAGTATTATGAATATGCATTTCTGATTATCCAATCAAAGGTATTCCTTCGGTTATTTGAGGTATTATAAAATATATTAATATAAGTTCCATAACCTCATCGCACCTTCTGGTGGTGATATACTAAACTAGGTAATTCGTTATATATATTGCATTAGAAGGTTTGTTTGCTTTAGTTCAGTTAATTTTACAATAGTTAGGCTGGAATATTATTTTACATTGCTATTGTCCAGTGTTGTATTATTATTCCACTGACCAGAACTTTGTTGTACTAGTAGTTTTTATAAGCATTGCCTATTACCGATTCTATGTTAAGTGTAGTTGTGAAATCGATATTGATCAATGCCTAATTAGGTTTATTTAACGTAAAGTAATTAGTGTATAACGAAAGATTTTCAAGTGTCTGTACCTGTGCGTACACTGGCACTGTGTTAAAAAATAGATTCTTTCTTTTCTTCATGAGTTGAATTGTGCAATGAAAATAAACACAAAACTTTTATTGAAGTGTCAAAATGCACTTTGGAAACACATTACCATTGTACACACACACACAACAAAACTTGCAAGTATTTTGTTATACACGAGTTTGTTTACATTATATCAAAATATATGATATTACAATCATAGTTTCGTCATATCAAGATACATGAAGCTACAGATAATGTCAAATGTGCAATATTT